CGGGGCTGGGCCGCCTCGGCGGGGCAGTGCGGAGCGGCGGCGCCGGGGATGCGGAGCGGCCGGGTCCCGGGCAGATGATGGCGATACGCGAGCTGAAAGTGTGTCTGCTTGGAGTGAGTAAGGGCGACCGGGGGGTCGCTTCCCCCTTCCTTTCCCCCCTCTCTCGCCTCGCAGGTGGGGGCTGTGGGAGCGGGGTGCTCCCGCAGCCGGGGAACGCTTCCAGCCTCGCTGTCCCGCTTCCCGGGGGGCGCCGCGTCTGGCGCTCCCGGGCGGGGCGGGGGGGCTCGGCCGCAGAAAATTCCACCACGCCGAAACTTGGCAGCCGCGCACCGGCCTCCGCGGGGCGGGGGGAGGCTCTGGGGCTTGTTGTTTTTCTCTTGTTTCTCAACTTTTTAAAAGTGAGGAGGGCGTAGCGGGCTGGGAGAGGTGGTCAGTGGCTCTCTTTTGGGGGGCTCCCCCAGCGCTCCCCAGCAGAGCCATCCCCCGGCGGCAGTGGTCCCGCGGAGGTCTCCCTTTGATGCCAGAACCCCGGAGGCACCTGGGGGGTGGGAGGGCGGGTTGCTGCCCACCCTGGGGCTCGCTGCCCGCCCTGGGGCTCGTCACAGGCGGCGGTGGCCTCGCCGAGCCCCGTTCCAGCGGTGGGGAGCCGCCCGGGGCCAGGCAGCAGCGCTGCCAGCCCGCCCCGGGACGCTGTGTCCGGCGGCTCCTGCTCCCGGGGCTCGGTCCCGTCTCACCGATGTGCTGCTCGGTGCTTTGTTTAGTTCCTTGCCTGGCTTTATTTAGCAGCGCTTCTTTGACTCGCCTCCTTACAGGAACGTCCTTTTTGCCATTCCTTTTTTTTTTTTTTTTTTTTTTTCTCGCTTTTTTGGCGAACTCGCGCGTGCGTTTCACATCTGGAGCAGCAATGTGCTGAGCTCTGCACTTTGGCTGAGCCTGCCCCTCTCTGCCCGGCACCGAGGGAGCTTCCCGGCAAAATGTGCCCACCAAGCTGGCACAAACACCGCCGCAGAGCAGAACCATTTCTCCTGACAGTAACCAGCAGAGCATCACTACTCCAGTACACAAGTTTCTTTTTAAAAGTCAAACATCCCAAATTACCCGGTGCAAGTGCGGCTGCTTTTAGGCCCACATCTCCATAAGCACTCAGTGAAGCTGGGTGAATGAAGGCGTTTTACAGTGAATTTGCTTTCATGCCATCCAAGTGAGTTGGACATTTGAAAACCAAACACAAATAGACGCTCCAGTTCTCTCTGATTTGTGTTGACACTTAGCCCAGCAGGAGTGGGTACCTTGCCCTGGAGTAGTTCTTGCCAGGATGCGGTGCCAGGGCACTGGAGAGTTCAACCCAAAGTATTTGGCAGTGACCATTCCTCCTTTCTTGGTTAGAATTCCTGCCTTCAACTTTTAAAATGGCATAGTGACAAAATAAATGTGGTTTGTACAAACATGAGGAGTCTGTGGTAGAATATGTGGATGTGTCTTTGCTTGTTTTCTTCTCCAGCAGAAAATGTTGTAATTTTATAGAGATGAAGTGTCTAGTGGTGTGAGATTCCACATGTGCATAATTTATTGATGTTTTGTAACATTAAAACTTTCTGGAGATTTTATAAGGCAGTTGTTTGCTTTTTTTTTTTTTTTTCTTTTAAGATAGGAAAAGAAACCTATAATGCAGCTCTGTGTTACTAGGAGTATGCAATTACTCTGAAGATTCATTAAAAGGATGGGGTGGCAGTGGTGGCACTTAGGGAGATGTGTCTGTAGTTATAGTAATTTAGTAATTAGTGATATGTTCCTTCCATTTTAGGAGGGCATAGTCATAGAAAACCTTTACTTCTGATCACAGACATCTCATTTACCATGGAGGTTGACGCTATTTTCCCAAAAGAGAGGAATCCTTCAGATGATGAATCCCCTCAAGAAGCTGACATTTCTAGGGCAAGGAAACTCCATACCTGTCTGTGTGAACAAATGGAGGCATTAATTGTCTGATTTGCTTGAAAGCTAGATGGCAACTCAAAAATACATTCTCAGATCTACCAAAAGAAATCTTGACAGCTGTTTTTTCCAGTAGGTCCTGGATCTGCATTGTATGTCATAGATCCCTTGATAATCAGTCAAGTCTGGCATGTCCTAGTCCCAAGACAAGTTCTTATACTTGTTAGAAATATGGATTGAATTGATTTGTAAATCCATATCCCTCTCCACTTCTGAACACCGCTCTAGACTGCACCTCTGGATCAGACAGGAGGATCACTGACAGTTTGGCTTCAAGCTGTGCAGGGGGCCTGGGCTTGGGCTATTTCTGCCTATTCAGAATTTCCCAATGGGAGAAAATTGCAGCTGGTGCAATGTTTGCAAACCCAGCTTCTCCACAAGCTCTGGAGCCCCATTTGGCTACAGAGTGTCCAGATGGGAAGATGATGAAGAGGAATAGAGAAACCAGAGCTGTGGTCCACACTGCCAGCCCTACAGGCCAGTGCAGTACTCCAGGGCCAGTGAGTGGCCTGGACCCATTGCACTAAAAATGGGGAGTAGGTTATTGGCTCCTGAATGTAACCCCTCATTGCCAGGAGGGAGCTTGGCCTCTAGTTTTTAGCATTAACCTAACAAACCAGGATTTGGATGTCTGCATTTCATTTCTTCCTCCTCCAGAGTATCTTGGAGTTTTAAAATTCTCTGTGGGTGTCATGGGAGTGATTTGGAGCAGCCAGGAGTAGTGCACTGCAAGATGATGGTTATGGGATTTGTAGCTGTTGACGGAGACACGAGTGAGAGAAGGCCAAAGGGGAAATCTGGGGCAGCAGGAGGGTGGGAGTGAGTCAGTTTGGAAGGAAGGCTTTGTTGATTGCAGAGCTCTCTGAGAAGGGATGGTTCCAACTTGCCAGTGGGCGAGCAGGAGCAGGATGCCTGCCTAATTGTCCAGTGCCTCGCAGCCTCGGGTGTAGGAGGTACAGAGGTGCAGTTGAACAGCTCTCTTTAGTATGTTGCCATGCAAGTGTCCTCAAGCCTGCTCCTAAACTACTTCCTCCAGTAAATTATTGCTGCTGGGCAGTCAGGTATCTGCATGTGGAAGGTGTTCATCTTCCTGAGTGCAAATGCTTGAGCTCTGCTCCAAGTCCTGTCTTGTTACCCCTGACTCTTCCTGGTCTCTCAGTCCAGTTTGTTATTTGTTCCCAGCAATTGTCCCTGCATTAGATGCCACATGCTTCTGGGCCTGAGCAGGTTTTAGCTGCAGCTCAGTGTGTGTGGTGAAATGAAGTGTAGCTCTCATTTGATTTGTGTGGTGTTTCCATGTGGGCACCTTGTTGAGTGGCTGGAGGAGAGAGGAGTGTAGGGGAGCTGCTGTGTTCCTGAGCCGTGCTTCAGTGCTGAACTGTGGCTGGCTGTGCAGCTGCCAGTTTTCCTAATCTGTCTGTGGCTGCTCAGTGCCCTGTGCCTTAGCTCCCAACATTTTCTTTATGTGGGCTGGAGGAGCGATTTACAGCTCCCTGCCAAATCCTGACATAATTGCGTGTGGCAACCACAGAAGAGATTGCCAGGTTTACGACTGAGGCAAAGTTTCTTGTCTTTGTCACTTCCTGAGGAAACTTTGACAACTCTTCAGACTTTGGGAGATGGTTTGCTGACTGCCATCTAAAGTGACCTCCACTACTCCTTTCCTTCTGTTTTTGTTTATTACATTTTTGTGTTGTGACTGTGCATCACAGGACCAAAGGAGGTAGGATTGGAAGAGGCTCAGAGGTCATCCCTTGTCCCTAAAACCCTTCTTATTCCTTACATCTGTTTGTTTCCTCTGTCTTTAAAAACTCACCATCTTCTCCCTGGGCTTATGTCCCAGGGCTTAACTGCTTTTACTGTAGAAAGTTTTCCTGGACATAATGCCCACATCTTCTCTAGCTGACACTTTGTTTCTTCACCCTTCTGTTTGTGCCTTTGTTTTCTTGCTCATAAGAAGTCGCTTGCTGGCCTGCGTTCTGCTAGCATGAAAACGCTGTCTGAAGCTGGTGAGCCTGCATTTGTAAGAGGAGTGACATTTCCTCTGTGGAAATGACACTATGATACAGATGTATACACAGATCACTGGGAATCTTTTAGTTTGTGTCTAAAATGTTTGTCATAGTCAATGCTTTTATGGCCTACGTGTCCCAACACAAATAGGAAAGCTGCTGTTGAAAACAGAACGGCACCCCTGGCCGGGTTGAGCCAGTTAAGGAGCTTTCTTGTCACCAGGTATGTGCACGGTGGCCTCCATGGTAAGGAGAGCATCCTGCTGAGTACAGCGACACTGCACAGTGCAGAAGCCGCGGGTGCATCAACAGCTGCAGTGTTGTCACCTAAAACAGAGAGCAGAGCAAACAAAGGGAGTCATGAAAAGAGGAAAAAGTTACTGATGAAGTAAATGTGTGCCTTCTATAATTTTGTCCACAAAAGTATCTTGCCTGAGAGAAGAACAGAAACTGCCAAGCAATTTTTCCCCGTGTTAATGGTTCTTCATTACCTACTCATTCATTCTATTTTATTATGTAAACAAGTAGCTCTATAATGAGAGAAATTTTTGAGTTGTGACACATGGCTGTCTGTCTTGTGAAGTCACTGGTTTGAGGTGTCCATCATTTCAGCCTTTTCATCCAAGGAGCCCTTTGATCTGTATCTCTTTCCTAGTCAGTTATGTTTTTAAAACTGAACAGTGATTTTAAGTCCATGGAGAACTGAAAGACAGACACATGGTTAGCTGAGCTGCATGTACCTAATTTTCTTGGGAAATGTTTTTTTCTTGGTGTTCTTCTTTGGTGAAGAATACTCTGAAATACGCTCTTAATGTGAGCACACAGCACTTCCATATTCCATTGCCATGCTTTGCCAGTCAAAAGAAGTGTACAAGATACTGAAGGAGACTGGGACTGGTGATTTTGTTTTTATTGTTTGTCAATATTGCATAAAAATCCAGTTATGCACCAAGCAAGAAAATCCTGTTCCCTTGTATCAGTAAAAAAGTGCCTTCAGAAGCCTAAAGCAGCCTTTTCATATTATTTTATAAGACATTTAAATGTCTACAATCAGATTTTTTGCAATATATACATTAAATATGTAGGTAAACAATTTCTCACAGTTT